TACCTAAATATCCCATAAGTTCTCGTTTATATACTACTATATCTTTAATAGCAGAGATGTACCGTCTTTGATACGGGGTGACTTTGAAAGTTGGTGGCATAGACTTGTCAAGTCCGTTTAAATTTGTTTTTCTGCTCTTCAGCTTATAATCTTTTGTAAAGGATGGATTCTTAAAGATCCTAAGTTGAAGTTTTGTAAACAAGCCAGTCTACTTAATCGCGGTTCCTGAGTACACGACACAAAAGCTCTTCTCCTAAAGTCATAATTCATCAGTACGCTAAGATACACTAATGATTGCGAATCTATAATTAATTTGCGACAATTTGATGTTAAACGTAATATGTTTTGTTGATTTTTTCGGGTTAAAATGAAGTTTTCTTCTATTTCTTATACGTGTGACGTATGGATGATGTAATTATTATCATTAGTGGTTGCTTGAGTGCTGTTTTATCTATTAATATGTTTTAGTGCTGTTTTATTAATAAAAATGATCTGTTTATAAAAAAAATAGTGAGTGTCTTTGGATAGAGTATTATTTGAAATAATTACGGTTGTATATTTTGTGATGTTATGCACGTGCGATAAAAAAATAGTTATGAATATTAAAAGGTGAATTGAGAAATGTGCTTATGATGCAAACAAAATATTATTTGGGATAATTTAGCAATCCAAACACACTCAGTGAATCTATTATCTATTTAGCCCCTAAATTACTACTCATTTTACAAGGTCAAAATTGGGGAAATCGCCAGACAAAAACGTAGTGTAGAAAGATAGTACTACTTTTGAAGATTAGGCATAAAGCCTCTTGCTTTTGCTTTTTCATCTTTTTTGGGCATGAAAATGGATAGTTCTAGTCGCATGAACAATGAAGATGTTGTAGAAAATGGCATCGACAGTGCCCACTTGTACCAAAAGTCCGTAAATGTGTACTTAAAAGCCCAAATTTACAGTTTTTTTTTAATAGGTAAAATTATCAAGTCTGTAAACGTGTACTTATTTTTGTGATGGTGAGTAAATCACCTAACGAATTGTGATTTACTTTTGATATTATCAAGTTCTACATTATAACATTATAATATAAATAAAACTAGTTTCGTACTAGAAAAACACAGGAACTCCTTCCTATTGCGAGTGAATCAACCGGCCACTTCCCACCATTGGCTGCTCAACAAATTGTTCAGGCATCGTAAGTTTCCATGTAATCAAGTGGGAGCGAAGAGGTCAAGGGCTGGATCCTGCTCCAAAAGATAATGAGCAGACGTTAAACGAATTTAGTTGAAAAGAAAAAGGGGCTATTAACGAGAACTAAAGACACATATGATGTCACTCTTCATTAGCAGAAATTTGCTCAACAAGTGATCATTTTGGTAACCAACTGTTTATCTGCATTGAAAAAGTAATCTCAAGAAAGAAAACAAGAGTGTTTAATCTACGTCACATCAACTTTTTACTCTTTTTTTTTTTTTTTTTGGTTATAGCTATTCATATGTTGGTTAGGTAAACCTTAGTCCGGTGATTACAATTGTAACTCAAAAAATTTAAAAATTACCGAGCACAAAAGTTCTCATTTTTTGCTTTTAAAATCTCACTTTTTTTTTTGTTATAGTGAAAAAAATAACGAAATACTGTGACTAAATAATTATACTTTTTTTAGAATTAATTTTTTATATATTGATTGTGTATATATTAATGGGCTTATTCAGATAGAATATTATTTGAAATATTATTATAATATTTTTTATGATATAATGTATACAAGATAAAAACGCGATTGAAAATATAAAAAAATATATTTATGATACATTCGAAATATTATTTAAAATAATTTGCTATCCAAACACTCCCATCTAAATTTAAAATTTAAAATCAAATTTTGTTCATGTATATGTGATAATGTATGCACCAACCGTTGGTGTATTATTGTGCATTTCTTCTTGAAACTTGTAAACAAGAATTGAAGTCCAGAACACCACAAAGTGGCGTGATGGTACACATAGAGTACTATGTAGGGTGCATATAGAGTACTTGTCGCGTCAATGCGTCATACAGGTTACATGTTGTACTGGAATACATTATCGTAAAAATCAAAGAATAGAGTGGAGGCGCCCCCCAGGGAATGATTCACACGTGAGCTGCAACGAGTACGATAAAAAGGGCAGAGAATCATCTTTAGGTGCCGAGACTAAATAGATGAGAGGTACGTCACCCATTAATGAGGAACCACCTGTGAGGTTTTTTCTCTGATATGATGTATATGCGATATAAAATTAATTGAAAATATAAAAAGATAGTTTAAAAAATGTGTTTGTGAGACAAGTGAAATATTATTTAAAATAATTTTGGTATCCAAACATTCCCATATTACTGCACTTCTAAAATTTTGAAGTACCACTTATCTCCCATTAATAATTCATCTATCAAATAAATTGAGATAAAATATAAAAATAAATAAAATACCCTTCTTCACTACAAAAAAGAGACAATTTCTTCTCCGTCTCTTTTCTTCAATATTCTGTCTTACTCATATTTTTGTTTTTGAATGACTATAAAATTTTTATTTATAAATTATAGTACATTAGATATTATTTATCTTTTTTTATGATTGTGATAGAGTGATTTATAATATCTTTATTTATTTTGAATTAATTTTTATAATGATTTAATACAACATAAAAGTTTCAGCCACTGGTTGAGAAGGGATTGGGAAAAAAAATTAAGGTTAATAAAAAATTAATTTTGAGCATATAGGGTTGAATTGATGCTAGTGTATTTTTGTACAAATATCTCATTTGTTTTCTAGATTTATATTTTTATGAATTAAAACTTTATGATGTATTGATACTACTAAAAATTATTTTTTAGGTGATGATTCTTGTTGAAATAACCAAAGTCCACTAGGAGTATTTTTATTTAGCAAACTAAGCAAAAGGATATTTTTGAATTTTTTAACCATTTGTTACATAAATAATAAATTGAGGAAAATAATATTTTTAAAACTTTAAGAAATATTAAGTGATATTAAGAAAAATCTCATAAGAGGTTTATGATATTATCCTTATATATGCGTATGGGTACTCCTTGATGCTAGATTAATTTCTTCCCATTGGTTGGGTCAAAAGTGCAGGGAAGTCGATTACAAGGTAAATTATCTTTTGCTTCCTAATCAACAAAAACAAAGGACAATGTTAGTAAACGTTAATTTTGAATAGATTTCAATCTGAATATGAAAGTTTGGACTCTTTTTTCTGATTTTTCAACATATGAAGTCAGCCAGCCCCTTACTAGTAAATCTCGCTACATTGCAAATTGACGAATTTCAACGGTAGATACGTCTTATACGCTGCTTAATTACATCCACTAAATTAGCTAATGCTCAATTTCAACCGGTACTAGTTTAATCTTTTATCAACGCCAAGATTCATTGGTACAAAAATACAAGGTGCATGTTTGGATACACAAATAATTTTAAATTTTTTTATTTATGTTATAAATATATTTTTTATTATTTTTTATTTCATATAAATCATATCATAAAAAGTATTACAATAATTATTTCAAATAATCTCTATCCGAAAGCTTCCATTGGTTTCCATAACTAAGGTTCCGTCTGGCAAGTGAGTTTTTTTTGTATTTGTCTAAAACTTTAATGTAGTTTATTGTAGAAGTCTTTTAAAAAAATTTTGAAATGCGTTTTTTTTTTTGTATTTTGAAGTGTATAGTTTAAAAATTTTGAAAAATTTTTTGAAGTTACTGTCGCTAAAGTGTCAAACTTAGCAAAAAACTTGTCTACCCAACAAGGCCTAAAAACGGGAAAAAAAAATTGCTTGGGCTAAGTCCCAATTATGCCCGCAACCCTTTGTAAGCCGAAAATGAACCTTAAGATATTTGGTCGAATGTAAAAGTACGTTTTGCTTGAACTATTGCGTGAGGAGTATTTCAATGTTTACTGTGGTTAAGGAAATAAAAGAATAATTAACTTTTTATATATTAATAATGCAGTGATTTTTTACATTAACAACTTTTAATGTATATCATATGTACGTGATTTGAATTTTAAATTTAAATTCATGTTATATGGTATGATCTAACTGTTTGTTTGGATTGCCTTTTTTTTATTTTTTTTGTAAAAAAATTATTATAGCGATTTGATATATGTGAGATTAAAATAATATTGAAAAAATGTGTTCACGGAAAAAGTAATAATTTTTCTTTAAAAAATTGCTTTCCAAATAAATAAACATAAAGGATCTTAATTCTTGTATTAGGGTCAGTCCAGTGACTAGGAGAGAATGATTAGAATCTTTTCCGCTGTTAAGCATGTGATTCACATCCTATGCCTACCGGTAAAAAATGAGACAGGTGTGAGAAAGGATGTAAAGGTTAAAAAAAAAAAAAAAAAAAAAACTCATACAAGCTTAAGTCTTTTACCCCCCCTTTATTTATACAAGCTTACCGTAAATTCATAGTTTTGTGTTTGCGGACGAGTTACAAGCTTAAAGTATAAATTTTCAGATCAATAAATGGTGCATCCTCATTCTAATTTCTCAACGCTAGGAATCAATGCTGTAATAAACACTTAAATATCAAACTTTATTGTGCACATATACAAATGACTCCACGTTTGTAAATGCCTTTCTGAACCACAAAGAAATATTTGTTTGGATGAAAATTGATTTTGATGGTTTCAGATAGAGTGCAGAAGGAACAGCACTGAAGGAAATGCAAATGAATATCTGCAAGAATAATAACATGCGCTGGGATGGAATGATAATAAATTATTTTCGCTACATAAAAGCATAACAACGGGTAATAGTACTACGGAGGGGAGGGTTGGGTGGGTGATAAGGTGGGAAGGATTGTAAGTAGGAGATCTTGAGTTCAAGACCTCCCACTTACCCAGAAAGAGAGAGAGAGAACTAATAGTACTACAATCCCTCCATAACTTTAATTGCTTACTAGTTAAAATTCTTCAAGTGTTTCTTCTAACCAATGTCAGTGGCAAGAGACTTTATATGCTCATCCTCTTCATTATTTATTAGAAACTACATTGATCCTCTGGAAAATAGTTTTCCCCAAAAATTATGAGCCAAAAAATGCACCTCTGATGAAGTCCAGTAGATTGAGGAGACAAAATATCAAAATAACAAAGCCTAACTGAATAATATCTCACATTGCTTAGCCTATTGTTTAGTAGAGTAAGCAACATCGGCAAAATAAGCATGTTAACAATGTTCTCTGTAACAAGTTTGTTCAAGCGCTGCTCAGGAATGCACAGTATGTCCTTCAGGTAATAGAAGTCATCCAAAATTCTATCAGTTTCTGAAAGAAGTTCTCTTTTCTTTTCATGGAAACTCTCCCTGCATCATAGTTATGACAAGCTCTCAAGAGGCGGATAACTGCTGTTGGAAAAAGCAAATGAACATTTAAAGGAACAGAAACATACTTTACCCCATTGATGATTGCATCAACATGCAAGCACTTATTTTTTAAATTCAGAATCAAGCTAGAAAAGTATGCAGAAGCAGTCGGAGTTGTTAGAAATTGATAGACCATCTCATCAGCAACTGCATCATTGAATAAATAGCTTAGAATCACTATTATTTGGATACAACCTACTAAAAGTACAATATATTTAAAATAAAGTACATTTTATAATAGTAGAGTACCACTATAAATGTTAAGGGTCAGTGCACGAACTGCTATCTGTATCATCTTTTCCCCATGGTTAGCAAATTTAAGAGCCTCATCATACAACGGCAATGAGATTGCAGTGTCCTGTCAAAGTGGGTAAAAATCAAAACAGAGTAACTAACAAAAAGCACATTATTCTAGGTAATCTATATAAAGACAACACACATTTTTATCAATAGTAGAGCACAATAACAGCATTATTACAGGGCAGACCTAGTGGAACTAGATGACATTGGTTAGACCTAATTCTTCCCAATTAGCTTAGTCTAGACTGCACCAATCATTTAAAATTTCTATCCTCAAAACAAATGTCTCCCAATTCCAAAATAAAATTGGCAGGTGTTATCTAAATAATCTAACATTATGTTAACATGTTAACTGCAAATCGTTATGGATAGCTGCAAGAGCTTTTATTCCTAAATGCTAAGGTCCTGTGAACATTCAACAACTCATAAAATAAGGGAATTTTATCAAACAACGCCCAAAAAAAAAATCCGTTTCATTTCTGAGCATTTCAAGTTCTTTTAGAGCAGGATACAGCCTGGCTAAATGCATACTTCTTTTTGCAATAAATACTTGTAAGAAACAAGGAGCTTTGGACCAGTTCGGTCAAAAGTATCAGGGTAAAGTACTTGAACAAACAAAAAGGGAATGGATAAAGATAGTCTTTTCTAATAAAGTTCATTGAAATTTTAAGCTTCAATCTACCTGGTGAACCTTTACGAGAAGACAGATTGTGTCTCTACCTATTTTCCCACTAACTGTTCTGGATCAAATTACACAAAAAATAAAAATTAATTACTTGGGCATAAACTTAAGCCAGGGAAAATGAGACTAAATAACTGACAGTAAGAACAGTAAGGCACACAACCTCAGAAAGGATACATAATAAGGAATTAGATCTCCCCCATCGAACTCATAATGATGTGATATTACGCTGTTGATATAGCCATTGCTGAAACAATAGTCTGCATCGTTTACATTAGAAAAGACACCAAAGAATTGTACAAGCAACATTTGAAGAAGTAAGCACAAAATAATGCTTTAGAAAAGAAAAGAAAATACAGTTACTTAGAAGTGAAAATAGCCTATGGCTTAACACAAGACTTTTTGAATTCACATACATTTGAAACCCCCCAATAAGATGCATATGTAGGCTCGAATGATCATGTTCTCACAAAAGATAAGATCCAGGGCACATTATTGTAGCACTACACGAGAGCCAGGCAAGAGCACATTAATGTTTCTGACGTTAGTAATAGAAACTATGTGTGACTGACATGACAGTTGGGGGTCATTAAGCTTTGAAGTAATATCAATCTTCGCCGTTGTTGAGCATGTGATTGTTTTCATATTCCATTCTACATTTAGAACTGTTTAGATGCTATCCCAACCCATGCAAGGCAGCTGGATGTCTTGCCTCTATCCTTCAACTTTCCTTGGATAAAAAATTACAAGTAATACAATCTTTGATCTGGTGTCGGATGCGAGTTTCAAAGGCTTACAGATGGCATGTTCATTTTCCACGTTCTGGATCATTATGCTCAAATACTGCAAGAGTGCTGCCTCAATTCCTGAATTCCCACCAATCTTTAGTATACGAACAAACTCTGCTAAAACTTGAAATTCCATGAAACATCTATAAGAAGAGAAAAGGAAACTCAAGTTGGATGTGTCACAACATATTCACATTAAGAGGATCTAGAAAAGTAGGGCGATGCAATGTTTCTAACTCGAAAATCGCTGGATCATGCCGATCACCATAGGTAACTATTTCCACAATTGATTGAAGCAAATCCAAAACTACTTCCTGGAGGAAGAGGATCATGCAAGAGAGAAGGGTTGCTGATATCAGACCGCAGAAAACAGATCATTAGGCAAATTTGATAAATCGAAGTGGGAAATGAATTGATTCTATACCCGGTTGCGCTTGTCAACGACTCTGATTTCCCGCAGTTGGTTTACAATATATCTAAATTCCAAAATTGGATCACACAAGACAGTTAAACAAGGGAGATAGTAGAACAAGAATAAATGTAGTAGAAACACAAAAATTTTCAACCCAAAAGGAGGTCATGTTAAAGCCAACAGTTTTATATGGCTGAAATGCATGTCGAGGATGCTGCCAGCCTTAATCAAAAAGAAAAATGTTTCCCCGCCTTATGATATAATTTTCCTCTGTGGATCATGTAATAAAAATCTACCTACAAGATAAATTTTCACCATGAAGACAAAGCTTTAAACCCTGATTAATTTGCATCGTTGCAACAAATTTTCACTTCCACTCTGTACTCCACTGATTCACAACCAACACCGCCCCCCCCCCCCTTCTCCGGGCCCAAGGAAAAAGTAGAAAGAAGAAATTTGACTGTAAATGGGTTATTTTGTAATTAGTTCAGGATTTTAGAACAAAAACTTTTGCTCCCACAAAAACAAAAAGGTTAAAAAGTAATGTAACCGAAAAAAAATGGAGCAAACCTGAAGTGGTGAAGAGAGAAGCGGTCGATTGTAGGCCAAAGTGACCGCCACATCGTAGATAGCAGGAACAGTATTGAGGCACTACTATACCCGGAATTAAGAAAGAAAGAATGGGTTTTACAATGCGTGCGCGCTGCACTTGGAAATAGTCCCGGAGCAAGAATGCTGTAGGGAGTAGCAATACGTATTGGGGGCTGGGCGGGGCGGGGCGCCACAATTAAATTGGAAGGTGGAGGTTGTTTGTCTGGTAGGTTTGCAAAATTTTGGCAACCTCAACTAACTTTCAATCATTCTTCTTTTTTTTTTTGTTTTCTAAACTTCATTCCCATTCATGATAACTGTAATTAAAAAGGAAGACCGGATGGTTTATTTGGGTGATCGAATTCGAATGCTGGACGGATGATATGACCAGTGAAGTTGGAGTTGACGGTTGGAATTTGGAAGCATCGTACTTTTTTGCTCCCATCACAATAAACCGACAGCTGCTTCTTTTTTTTCTTTTTTTCTTTTTTTTTTTTTGTAAGCACTGCCTTTGTGGAGCGATAACATGTACTAACAAGGTTTCCTTTCGCATCTTTAATGAGTAATGACATGGCAATAATTATGTGGAATGTGTGTCGAATTAATAAAATTTTATTATGCTTGATTATTCTTTGCAAGCTTATCTTAAATAATACCTATACAAAATCATTAAGGTTTGATATTTATAAGTTTCCAAACCAATAACTAGTTGTCAATTGGGAATATTTCTATCTTGGCTAATTATTGTTGAGTTTTTCAAAAACTAGTTACTAGTCTAAAAAAGTACTCTAAAAGATACCCTAAAAAGTAGTCTAAAAGATACTCAAAAAAGTAGTCTAATTTTTTTTAAATATTTAAAAAATATTCCAAAATATACTCTAAAAACTCTGCTACAGTAAAATTTTTCAAAATCACCCCAAAAAACAGCTAATCCAAACAATAAGTGTTTGGATTATAAAAAATTACACTTTATTTACACCTTATTTACACACACTGACTTGCTTGCATCATCAATATATTTTTCAATCATTTTTTTATCTCACATACATCATATCAAAAAAGTATTACAGTACTTTTTTCACAAAATTATCTCAAATCATTTACAATCCAAACACACTCAATTTAAAACTGAAATCTGAATCCATTAAATTATTGAATTATTAAGTATTAAATTTAATACATTTAAATGTATATCACATTCAGTGATAAGTGAGTAGCTTATTACTTGTTTTTTAGAGCAAGTTTTCATTACGAAATTCAGTGTCATTTAATTAATTCAAATGTTTAATTTTTTGTTATCAAACACGTCTGAACTTGTTACGATCTAAATCCATCAAATTTAAGTACTAAATGAAATTATCAAACAAGGGCCTGAGTAGATTCTAGAGCTAATCATTGTTACTTTCTGCCGAGGACCGTATAGAAAAGTAGGACAACGTGTAAAATTAACTAATGACTAAAGATATACTACTCTATGCGTGTAGAATTAACTACTCTTTAACCCTTTATTTTATATATACAATTCGGAAATGAATCATACAACCTGTGAATTCTACTCGAATTAAAGATGCTTGCGGGGTCTACGTCAATTTTTACAAGAAGAAGAAGGTGGGATGGTAGAGGAATTAACTCCTCTGTGTTTTAACCTCTTTCTCGTCATTTACATTTTGGTAAATGATTTAAAATGGCATTCTAAAGCTTCATTACAAGTACGATGAAACTTTTATCTTTCTTTCTTTTTTTTTTGTTGTCCCTTCTAACTATTATGTCTTCGCTATTACTACTTACAGAAACTACGTAGTACAGTAGTAGGTTTCTCTTGGAACCGCACAGTTATCTTACGTTTGATAAATAATAATAATAATAATTAATTAGGCAAGAAAAGAATGATTAGTACCACATTGGAAAAGGCGGCAGCCTCGTCGTAGACCAGTGTCTTTCCAGATAATCGTACCCTTTGGAGTCCGATGCGGAACGATCTTAGAAGTTCATTATGCCATAGGCCCACGATTGCATTGCGGTGTTTCCGTCCGCATTTCCTCGTGGCCCACAATTTCCAAATCAATTAATCATCCAAAGAAAACTCTCTGCCGTTCACCCCAGGGAGCGTTGTCAATTGGATTTGGGAGCTGATTTCTGCTGGTATCAAAATTTCATCTTAGAGTTTAACCTTAACTCTGCAAGGGCCCTCCAAAGGGTGGTTCATTTCCACTCACAAAGCCTTACGGGCTTCATTTGGCCTTAGCCCAAGCTTACTTTTTTTTTCCCCCTTTCTTTAGTTTCTTTAGTTGACTTGCTACCCACTAAATCTAATTTATTAGCGACTAAATTAGTTACTCTTAAATTACCCACTACAACTAATAAATTTATACATTCAACTTTCTATATTATAATTGACACTAAATATGTAAAGAATGTAACCCCTAAAGTACAAGTTCATCACACTTTAGTTCTTAATCTAATCAATCACCTACTAAATGAGTTACTTGTAATTTATCCACTCATGAAGATGACTTTTACAGATATCTTTCGCATTATTATTACGTGTAGCTTCATAACTAATAGAAATAATTCAAGTATGGCATCAAGTTGCTAACTATACAAGCATATTGTGTGATGTATGCGCATCAATGCAGTTGAAACAAGTACTTATTTGTTTGGATTGGGTTTTATTTCCCCAAATTTATTTACTTACATCATCATTACAATTTCCAATACACCTTTTTACCTTCCCAATTACCTTTTTATCTCACATACATCACATCACAAAAAGTGCTACAGTAAAAATATCTCTAATAATTCACAATCCAAAGTAGTATGCGAGTTTTTGCAGACAAAATTTTTTGACATATTTTTAAATTATTTTTTTATTTTATATATATTATCTCGCTATAGTATATATTTTTTGATAAAAAAAAATTCTAAATATTTACAATCCAAATGAGTCTTTATTCACAATAAAACACCTTTTTTTTTATTTTTTGAAATACAATAATAAAGGAGCTCACCTCTTATCTTATCACCATTCTTTTACACCTTTTCGGAATAAACTGGCAGGCTGTTTCTCACGTGTGTCCTTATTCGCTTTTGATGAGAGCAGGCGGAAGCTGAACGTATTTATATCCCCATTAATGCAATTAACATCATCAAATGTCAAAATCTAAACCGGCGGAGCCATGTTTGATGTTTCAGCTCAGCATTAACAGCTAGTAATAGCGTATCATCAATAGTTCAATATCTAATCAATTTTCTCAAGTTTAATTATTTCCATCTGTCAACTCAACCCCCCAATAATAATAATCGCATACTACTCTACTGGACTACCACTACTACTAGTAGTAGAAAGTGCAGACCTTTTCCTTCAATTCTCAAAATTTAAACACATCAATCAATCAAACCCCATATATCATGCAAAAATGCAATGATTACTTTGACAGCATGAACGTCGTCGAAGCGCAGCCCCATCCTCAAGTTATATCCATGTTTCCAGCCTCACAAGCTTTTGGCCTTCCAATCCATTGCCGAGGGGAGCTTTTCTTTCTTGTCAAAGGCCAACTGACCAAATTGTCGAATACCAATTCAATGAACAGGCGGCAAGTTGCAACCCTTTCCCTCCCCAATTTTTCCCAAATATTAAGCCATAGATCACTAGCGTGAAGTATGCTGCTAGGCCTTACTAGAAAATTGACGGGAAAAATAACAAAAGTTCTTGTTTGAATTGCTATTTTTTGAATTTTTTTAATATAAAATTATATTATAATAATTTGATATATGTAGATCACTGTGAACCTCCCTAGACATCGACTGTGGATCCACTAGATTGCTTTGATGAACTGATAACTCTCCAAGGTTAAAAGCTTCTAAGTTGTAGCTGAATGCGACTTCGACGGGAGGACAAGATTTATTGATATAATAGGCTCCCCTTGACACACTAGGGTTTGACATCATCGAACTATCTTGGATTAGAAAGTCAGCCTATGAACCCTACCCTCTATCTCTTTCTCTCCCCTCCCACCATGATAAATACCTCCTATTTTGCTCTTCCAAGGGTATGCATTCACTCTTATACTCACCCCACTTAGGAATAATATTGAGCATAGAGCGATACTGAGAGGAAAGCGTCACTCCGAATTCTCTTATTTGTTTCACAAGTAGAGTGATCCAGAGCCCACATCGGCCCCTCACTCGGTATCTTGGATTTTCCTTGCACATGAGATAAAAAATAATTTAAAAATATGATTACAAAAAATATAGAGATATTTCTTTGAAAACCTTCAATCCAAACAAGGCCTAAGATTCTTAACAACCTACAAAAATTAAATAAAATAGAGATGCACCAAATTTAGGTGATTCGATGAATGATACACGTCCACGAGTGGAGGAGTAGTAAATTTATGATGACAAAAAAAGTACAAAAAGAAAAAGCACAAAACCCTAGAAAAGCATTCTTGCACCTTAGAGCATTAAATATTGAATAAAGTGTTTTTAAATCTAAAAGTACCAAACACTAAAAACAGAAGAGAATCCAAAATAATACAAAAGACTTAACGGCCAAAAAACTCAAACTCTTTTAATTTGGTACTTAAACCAAAATCTATCTTATATTAGTCATGGAGCCCCCCAAAAACTCTCTTAGATTGGTACATTAACGCACTTAAACTCGTTCAAATTCAACATATTTACAACTAACAAAAAGAGATTTTTTTTGTTGTAAAACTATAGAATATAAAGATAAACTTAACAAATCTCAACGTTAAATCCAATATCCACAAATAACAAATACATTCCACTTTCTCCATAAAAGTTTCACAAATCCCAACGTGCCTAGATTGCAAAAGGTTTAATGGATTCTAATAGGTCAAAAAGTAACTAGAGTTTCAATGGATTTGAGTCAAAACTTGCAAATGGGCTAAATTCACGACATTTTTAATAAGTCCCAACAAGTCAAAACTCATGAGAGATTTAGATCCCTATGGGCTAAAAGCATGAATATTGATCATGTTACATTTTCTCCGCAAAACTCTCAACAAGTTCCAACAGACCAAAGCTCAAAAATATCTAAGTGAGCTCTAGTGGATTTTTTTTTCTCCACTTTTTTGTAGCGCTAGATCAATATCCTGAAATTGATAGTTTACTCTAATATCAGTTTGCTAAGTTTGATACCACAAAATTGATGAAATAATAAGGTTCTTGACAATTCACAAAAGATCAAATAACTCATTAACGAACTCTCTTGTTTTGGTGTTTAACCCAAAATCCCTCTCACTCACTCTCCTACTTTGATACTTAACCCAAAAGCCCTCTTATATTAGGATATAAAGCCACCCAAAACATATTGAACTGGTGTGTCGACACGTTTAAATTCATTTTTAAATACAACATGTTTATGACTGTCAAGTAGTACTTCAAAATGTTTAACATA